TTATTGATTTCAGAGAGGAAGGGAGAGGGAGAGAGAGATAGAAACATCAATGAGAGAGAATCATTAATTGCCTGCCTCCTACCTGCCCCCCACTGGGGATTGAGCCCACAGCTCAGGCATGTGCCCCTGACCAGAATCAAACCTGGGACCCTTCAGTCCACAGGCTGATGCTCTATCCACTGAGCCAAACCGGCTAGGGCCAGAATGAGTCTCTCAAAGAATAACTCACAGAATACCACCACCTTGCTTAAAATCCATCAATTATGAATTAAATCAACCATACATCAGCCTACCAAGCCATATGTGGGTTAAGTTCTACCTGCTTCTCTTACCAGGCTCCCTCTATTCTCATTTATTGAGCCCAGCCTCACCCTCTTTCTGTCTCTCAAGCACACTGCGTTTATTTCCTTCTCGGGGCCTTTGCCTACACTGTTCCCTGTTGTGCTATATCAATGGTTAAGCTGGGAACTCTGTTTCCCAGAATCCCCTTCCCTGTGTAGTTCTAATGTAGAGTTAGCCAAAGAGACACTTGTGCGAGATTTTTAAAAGAGAAGTGAAGGAATAGCCATTACTCTTGATTAGATAGAATGACAGATACCTTGGTATCCAAGGATCCCAGCTTGCCCTTGCTCTCCTCTGAGTTCACCTTGTCTTCATGACTGTTGGCCTCTCGATCAACAATGGTCCCAACCAGATCTTGGAAGTGCACTCACAGAGACTGTAGTTACACAGAAGCTACAGCTTCCCACAGGCCCCCAGATTGGCAGCTGGACAGGCTTGGCTTCTTGGATTTTTCTCATGAGCTCTTATTTGTCCAACTGTACCAGTGCTTCTGATGGCTTCATCAGTGAACCTTTCTCCTGACTATCGTCCCAGACTTTCCCTTCTTGAGATCCTCCATCATCTGTGGAAAATCTGATTCCTGTAGTAATTCCTTTATTTCCACAATGTCAAAGTCAACCATATAATACAGAGAAAAAACTGCATTGTTACTGAAAATGAGAAATACCAGTAATGACTTCTACAATATTAAAAGCAGCAGAATTAAAAGCAGCTCTCTCTCTCTCTCTCTCTCTCTCTCTCGCTCTCTCTGTCCCTCTCTCCGCTCTCTCTCTCTCTCCCTCTCTCTTTCTCATTAGTTGATTCTGGTATGTGCCCAGGGATTGAAACCACAACCTTGGCTGGCCAGCAATGGAACCCACAACCTTGGCCCATCTGGACGATGCTCTAACCCAGTGGTCGGCAAACTCATTAGTCAACAGAGCCAAATATCAATAATACAACAATTGAAATTTCTCTTGAGAGCCAAATTTTTTAAACTTAAACTATATAGGTAGGTACATTGTTATTAACGTAATTAGGGTACTCCTAAGGCTTAGGAAGAGCCACACTCAAGGGGCCAAAGAGCCGCATGTGGCTTGCGAGCCGCAGTTTGCTGACCATGGCTCTAACCAACTGAGCTACCCAACCAGGGCCAGGGCAAGTGTCTCTTGTTTGGGACCTTTGATTAGGGCCAGACTGGCTAGGAGTTTGTATGGATTGGAACTCAAAGCAAAAGTGAGCTGCAAAAGGGAACTAAATGTCTCTGAATAATAACGGAACAGGAATTACCTCTGGCAGCTAGGAAGTATGTTGGGGATCCTGAAACAGCAAAAAGAGAAGGCAGTGAAGTAGGACTGTAAAAATGAAGTAAAGGCAAAGGAGACCAGTGAGAAATTGTCTGTGGTAAGATGCCAGCTTTAAAACACTGCTGCGTAGCATTCATTTTGGATATTGCAAGCAACTCCAGAATGCTAGAAAACTCTGGGGCCAGCTGGGTTATGTGGCAGCCGTAAAGGTGTGCCGCTTGGATCACCCTTCAACAAAGAACTTACTTTCAGCCACAGGGAGAGAGAGCAGTTAGCTGACACCCTCTAGCTGCTGCACTGGAGAGGAGACTCGCCTCCGGTGTCAAGCCAAGGCCAAATCCAAGCAGTCTCCAGCCAATGACTGAGTACTGAAGGAATAGTAAGGACTGACCATTCCTGCCCAACTCAGGACTCCTCTGATGGGCAATCTTTAGTCAGGTGCTCCCCCTTGGGTTCACTAAGACTTTCTCAGACCTCCATCACAGTCTGGGGCAATCTTTCTGCTTTTCCCCCCACTTTTATTTTCATAAGGGTTACCTCCAATAAACTTCTTGTGCATCTGATTCTGTCTCAGTGTCTACTTCTCAGAGAACCCAAATGGCACAGACTACATGTGATAGACTTTATATTTTGAGCAATAAGTGTTAGCTGCTATTATCTTCATTATTATTTCATACAGCCCCAAACAGAGGCTTTTAACACTGGAAGAAACCTTTTAGATGGACATACAAACAGGAACCTGGAAATCAAGAGACTGGAGTACGTTTCTGGTCCTGCCACTCATTGGCTAAGTAGCCTTGACAAGTCTTATGACCTCTCTGAATAGCAATTTCTTCATCTGCAAACTGAGGAATGAGAGATTATGATCTCTAAGGTTTCTCTAAGTTTCCTCCCAAAACATTATCCCCTTTCATGGTCCATCAAGTACACTATAGCTTTTGATTAATAGCTACCTAATACCCACCTTTTTATAGTGATGCTAACACTATAAGTATGTTTATATTTTAAAATAACTGCCATGTGGAAGGAACCCCTACCATTTGCAACAGCATGGATGGAGCTGAAGAGCATAATGCCAAGTGAAATAAGTCAGTCAGAGAAAGATAAATATCACATGATCTCACTCATTTATGGATTATAATGAACAACATAAACCGATGAACAAAAATAGATCTAGAGACAGAGAAGCATGGATCAGATGCTCAAACCTCAGAGGGAAGGCAGGGGAAGGTGGGGCTAAGGGGGAGAGATCAACCAAAGGACTTGTATGAATGCATATAAGCATAACCAATGGATACAGACACCAGGAAAGGGGAGAGGGGGTGAGGTCATAAGTGGGGGAGTGGGGGGGACCATAGGGGGATAAGGACACGTTTGTAATACCTTAATCAATAAAGGAAAAAAAATTTAATAAATAAAAAATAAAATAACTGCCATGTGGAACTAGTTTAGGACTGCCAGAATGGGAAAAGGCCACTTCTCTAGGCTTAAATTATTTTGTTAACAATTATATGAAAATCAGAAGACTCCAAATGGGTTTCATTCTTTCTTTATTCTCTATCAAATGCAATGCCAAATAGTATCCACGTAGTCCCCACACTGCTCCATTCCTCTGCTTAAAAGTAAGATTCTCTAATCACCCAGTGACCCCTGTGGGTCTCACAGGTTGGGGGCAGACAATAGAAGAGGGGCTGTTCCGTTTGTAACTAAGTCCCTGAGGATAGTATAACCAGGAGCACATTCCAGGGCAGAGGAGAGGTATTCCCACCACTTTTATTTGTTTCCTAAAATAAAAAGAATCCTTGAGGACATCTCACTACAACTTTCATATTTTCTAGAAATAGAAAAGCAAGCAAGAATGATTTACAAGCAAAGAAAGAAATGGGGAATTTATACACATGTTATGTTCTCTT